GCCTTCGTTGCGTAAACTACTACACATTCATTCAACAACAAATTTGTACTTAACAAATTAAAATACATTTCAGAGTTCCCTTTGTAAAAATCTTATAGGTTTAATTTCCGTCGAGTGAGTAAAGAATATTTTGATTTGATTTTGCAAACGGTGATATGCCTTCTCTCACACCCTGTATTAGACTCACCAAAGACACAATTTGGACTCAATGTGCCTTGATTGTAGATAATCTCTTGTAGCACAAGACCCTCCTATTCCATTGTTAGGGTTGTTTGTCCCTTCGTTGTCCTTGCTTTGTACACGGTATCCATGTTATCAGTGTGAAGATAACGAGTCGAATACAACTCGATAGTAATAATTACATTTACATATCGTTAAAACATACATTCTCATTATTCTTTAATTTTTTGTCTTAAGATTGTAGGTAATAATTTTCTGGCAATATTGTAAAACTTTACGTTAGTTTGTGAGTGTAAAATAATTACATCTAGTGGATGTCCAGTGGTCGAAAACTCGACCAAAATATGTACAGACTTCTCTATTTTCACCCCAGGCTGTAAATAAAGCATGTGATTGAAATTTCTTCCTTTTGTTTTTATTTTCAGTTTATATTTCATTATTATTTCATCACCATGGCAACCTATAAAGCCAATGTTAATTTTTATAATTTAAAAATATTTTTTGTTCTTATTTTTGAGTATATTTTTATTTATAAAGGGATTCTGCACATCTACAGAAAAATATATTTCTAACCGTATGCGTAGGTTTTCCCTGTGATGCAAGCGAGTATAGAAAAAATATTTTCAAGAAACATGCTTGCCTATTAATATATAGATGATAATATATTTTAAAGATGTTAGTGAACTTGCACTTGCCCGTCCACATACGGACCAGTGCTTGGAACGTATCCACTAAAAGAGAGGGGCGAGCCGGTACAGTGCAAGAGTGAAGTCGTAGACAAAAGAATTAAATATCATAAATCCCATATTTTACCATACAATATTATAAGAAATATCTAGCTTTTGTCTATGTTGAACTGTACTGAGAGTAGTGGCAGGTATAGGATCCGAACCCACGACAACACTGTCCTAGGCTAAAAGTCCTCAGCGCTACCGAGACAAAAAATCTTTAGATGCTTTTTAAAATACTGGAGATTATTTGAGAAACATGAAGCTATTTTTATATTAAAATTCATAATAGGAACTTTTAGGTATCGTATATCGTAGTTAATTAAATTCAATTAATATTTTAAACCGAGTTACGAATTACAGGATTTATTAAATACAGATTTTTCTAAAAGTTGAAAAGTGAAGACGTTGTCATATAGTAATATATTTTTTTCGTATTAGTTAAGTAATGAAAACAAATTATTTATTATTGAAATAATAGTCTTCGTAAATAATGGCTGTCCAACGTAAATCCTTAGAACCTTTCTAAAACTAAAGTTTCAGTTTCTGGTGAAACTACTAAAAGTTCAACAAGAATAATTCAATTTTATGGCTAATAGTTTTATAATGCTTGAACCAAAACTGGTTTTATGATTACAGCTATGCAGCTGCTATACTGGATGCAATGCATAAATATCATTCATCATTTCCAAAATGGATGTTATTGCTGTATTATGCAATAATGGCACCTGTGCTAAAACGTTTACATGCAACACCCTTTACATAACATTTATATTGTGATATGAATTTTTAAGGGGTTTTGGAAAAAATTACTTTCAAAACGTTTTGGGAGTTTTGGTAATTTTTACATAATCGTGGAATAAATATCAGTAAAAAACCTTGAACCTATTACACACTATTATGGTCATCCATATTAAGCTTGGATCGAAGATAGTTGCATTTTTGAGTAATATAAGTTATCCAACACCGATATTTTGTACTCTATGGCATCGTTGAGTTTGACAGCCAACCTTAACATCTGAGCCATCTGACCAATATGAATATTTATTTATAAAAATATATTGCATAAAATACATATAATATTTAAAAGTTTTAACATATGAAACGGATATTGTTTCTAAAACATTTGATATCTTTAGAATTTGTGGTATTGTGGTAAAAAAAAAAAAAAAAGTTAGATGGGAAAGGGGGTAGTTACCATAAAAAAGAATGCAATTAGATATAACTCAAAGAACATAGTTTTAACGTTAGTGGGCGTAGATTGAATAAAAATAGAAAGAAAATTGAACAACGTCGAATTATTAGAAACAGGAAAAGGAAATATGCAAGATATAAATCAGTAGTCTAAATTTAATGGCCTACAATATGTAAGTTTGTTTCATAAGCAATAAATTGGTCATTTGTGTAAAATGAAAGATATTACAACCACAAGATTATCATCACGTCTTAATGATAATTTAGAATCCCAAAACGAAAGATATACAAATATCTATGTTTTCCTTTCAAATAATTTAGTGTGTTTACAAAATACTGAAAGTGAAAGCAGGAGGGTTAAATCGGTGTGTTTCCTTTCCTCCGCAGTAGGTCGGACCATACGTCAAGCTTAATGGAGAAGAAGAACAAAGATAAAAATAGGTACTTAAGGGAAATCATTGACTCTTTGTCATACGAAAGACTCTTAAGTCCCACTAAGCCACAGCTTGTTATCGGTAGAAACTACATCAATAATATTAAAGACCTCTTTGTTAAGTATATTGTTTACTTTATTTTCCAAGTATTCATTTTTCAAAAAGTCTACTATTTTGTTCGTTTCAACAATTTTATACGAGTAATTTTGTGACTCAAAATTTCTATTGTGTCCTAGAACGCTAGGCACGAGCCTACTTCAGGCTAGACCTAAGGGTTGCGGCATTATCACTTAGATACAATCCATAGCTGATTTGGTGGGATTTGAACCCGGGACCTCAGGGACCGAAGTCCCGCGCTCTAACCACTACACCAGCTCACTCCCCACCGTGACTAATAATAAGGATTTCCAAAACAAAAGTATACTTTTTCAATTACATATTCGAAAATGATTGTGCTCAGTCTAAATTGTGTTGCATTTTAAACATTTTAGTACAAAACTAAATATATAATTTTAGTAAGGTATCAGCTGTGACAAACGACCACATATATCTGGGATTATACACAATCGTAGTGGAAAATCGAAATAGACAATTTGATTTGTGTTGTAATTTGTAAGGATCCGAGTAAATTGATGACCGGAGGGTAGCAATGCCAGTTTAACCTTTACTACCAATAAAGTACACTCGTAGCATGTTTATGGCAAGGTAGATTATACAAGTGATTAAAATAAATAATCATTAAAAATACTATTACAAAATTATCGAGAAAATATTATTTTCAATTTCAACTTGGACATATGAAAGACATAGATTTGTATTGCATTAAATTAGGTTGGATTTTTACAACGGAGTTACCTACACAAAAAAGTGCGTATTTTTGTGGGAAAGTTATTGAAGAATAAGTGTTTAATGAGCTGAAAGCTTCATTACAGACTTGTTTGTCCTATGACGAAAGGCATGCTCCGGGGGTTGTTTTTCACATTACTTCAGGCTAGACCTAGGGGTTGCAGCATTATCACTTAGATAAAATCCATTGGTGATTTGGCAGGATTGAACCCGGGGCCTCAGGCACCGAAGTCCCGCGCTCTTACCACTACACCATCTCGCTCCCTATTTCATTACAGACTAGGAACCCGAGTACTTGTTGATTATACAGAACAACTCGGTTCAGTTTCGAATCATTAAAAAACTTCTGACTTCTGACAGGATCGAACTAGCTACCTTCTGGCTACAAAGCGAGCACATCCCCATTACTACTCATATTAGACGGCCAATACCATTTCACATTCAAGCAACGTAAGATTTTATATTTAAATATCATTTACGATCCAAAGATAATGTGTGTTGAGAGTTTAATCGATATTCATGTTAAACGGGTTGAACAACAACCTCAACAACCTCAACAAGAAGCAACAAAACAGCGACCAACAACCATTGACGCTGTATCGAGGGTAAAGTCATTAGTGGCTGCCTAATGACCTGCAACGCTGCAACGGCGATGAATAACATCAGATATTCAACGCGATTTATATGGCACTGGCTCGTTTTTACACTGTGGTTTTACACATTAAAATATTTTATATTAACGGTTCTCGGTGTGAATATTTTAATTTATCTAACCCACTTTGAATGATAGTATAACTATTTTAGAGCCACAGGATAGTGAGTTACGGTACACTTCCGTATCTATTGTCAAACAATCGAATGAAAACATCGAACCGAATTAATATTTTTTATTCGATTTTTTCATTCGAAATATCATTTGATTAGTTAGTGCTAACATAACTAACTAAATGATATTTCGAATTAAACAACCGAATGAAAATATCGAACCGAATGAATATTTTTTCATTCGAAATATAATTTGGTTACCAAACGATATATCGAATGAAACAATCAAATAAAAATATTCATTCGGTTCGATATTTTCATTCGGTTGTTTTGACAACAGATACTGAAGTCTAACCATGGGTTAGTAAATCTAAGTAGTTAAATAACTGTAGATTATCAGTGGATTTTACCAACTTTTCCTACTTGATGTAAGCAAAGATTGAAAGAGAATGAAATACCCAGGTTGTCAACGTTAACCATAAATTTAGGCATTTATATTTAAACCAAACAATAATGAATTGCTTCAAATTCAGCAAAACAGGTTATATCTATGTTATAGTTTACCAACGTTTGGTAGAGCTATGAAAATTTATGATGCAGAACATAAAATACAAACTTTTCCATTTCCAACCCCTCTCGTCAAATCAAAACCTTAAAATCAAAATTGAATGAAAACACTGCACCGTAAATATTAGTAGGTACTTTGGGATTATACCGACCAAACCGATAAATCGACTTTCAAATAAGATTTTATTTTGTTTAAATAAAACAATTAGGTTATAACTATTAGGTGTGGTCAGTATAATACCAAAGTACTGTTTTAATAGATACAATTACTAAAAATATAACTTACTCAGCTTCCTCGACAGGATCGGTCTTGGCAAGGAAGACACAGTTGAGCAGGATGGTCGCCATGACGACGTAGTCGAAGTATTGGTTCGTAGACAGGAAGATGCAAGTCCTTCTGATCGTGTTCCAGGGGGAGAACAGGAAGAATGCGTTAGTGGCGGTGAACCGGTGGATGTAGTTCTTGCGGAACCGTTTGGAGACCACGCAAAACGTCTGGAACAAAACAGTTCTCGGTTACTTATAGAAGAGCAGGTAACTGCTGTGGATGTAGTTCTTGCGGAACCGTTTGGAGACCACGCAAAACGTCTGGAACAAAACAGTTCTTGGTTACTTATAGATCAGGTAACTGCGGTGGATGTAGTTCTTGCGGAACCGTTTGGAGACCACGCAAAACGTCTGGAACAAAACAGTTCTTGGTTACTTATAGATCAGGTAACTGCGGTGGATGTAGTTCTTGCGGAACCGTTTGGAGACCACGCAAAACGTCTGGAACAAAACAGTTCTCGGTTACTTATAGAAGATCAGGTAGGCCTAACTGCTGTGGATGTAGCTCTTGCGGAACCGTTTGGAGACTACGCAAAACGTCTGAAACAAAACAGTCCTTGGTTACTTATAGATCAGATAACTGCTGTGGATGTAGTTCTTGGGGAACCGTTTGGAGGCAACGGAAAACGTCTGGAACAAAACATTGCTTGGTTACTTATAGAAGATCAGGTAACTGCTGTGGATGTTGTTCTTGCGGAACCGTTTGGAGACCACGCAAATCGTCTGGAACAAAACAGTCCTTGGTTACTTAGAGATCAGGTAACTGCGGTGGATGTAGTTCTTGTGGAACCGTTTGGAAACCACACAAAACGTCTGAAACAAAATATAGTTCTTGGTTAGCTATATTTAGAAGATAAGGTAACTGCTGTGGATGTAGTTCTTGCGGAACCGTTTGGAGACCACGCAAAACGTCTGAAACAAAACAGTTCTTGGTTACTTATAGAAGATCAGGTAACTGCTGTGGATCCTTGGATTCTTGCTGTGGATTCTTGCGGAACCGTTTGGAGACCACGTAAAACGTCTGAAACAAAACAGTTCTTGGTTACTTATAGAGCAGGTAACTGCTGTGGATGTAGTTCTTGTGGAACCGTTTGGAGACTATAAATCGTGTTTAACAGTTTAGCATTTAGTTACTTGTACGGTAACAAGCTCAAGGTATAAGGGAGAAATTTATTTAATTTATAGTAAACTAGTGGATGAAAATTGTTAGGGTCTTGAATCACAATCAGCAAAATCTAGTGTCAATAGTTTTATTTTGACAAACGTCTGTTTTGGTTTCGCGATCATGTGTTATTGAGTTTGTGTATGTATAATGCCTCTTCAGTACACCAGGGATAGTGAGGATTTCAAATAACTCACAGGAAAATATATAATTTGACATCTTAGCAGATGTATTAACCTCTTGTAGAAACTGAATAGAGAATTTTTAAGGTCGAAGACGTTTCTGTTCAAACCGAATCCAACATCGTCTGTGTCACTAATGTATCACGAAATATTTCATGTTCTAGTGGTTTTTCTAGGCCACTTCATGCAAATCAAAATAAGAAGGTTACAATACCTGCAGACTGCCTATAGTGGTCCTTAAATATCCAACAGGATTACGCGTTTCAAAGTATTTATTATACCATCATCAGATCCTATACAAAACTTGAAGTTTTTCGACTCTTGATGTCAAGTCACAGTTTTAAAACACAGTTACAAAACATTTATACACGAAATAGTATATTACGTTACTAGTCCTGAAAATAAGTGTTTACCGGACGAGTGTGGTCGTTCCCGTGCGAGACGAAGTCGAGTACGGGATTACCATACGAGTCCGGTACACACATTTTGGACGAGTTACGTACGATAGTTTACGCCATACTACTAAATCCGTACAAATCCTTATATATTTCCACCAAATAAAGTACTAAAAATCACTAATCATAACCTATGTTTTTGTGTATAACCACTCACTGCCACCTAAATGCAGTATAATCAACTGATTGGGTGTCCGGCAAAACTCATTGCAGTACAGTAGTACGCAATGAAACCCCATTTGAATAAGCTGGCGGCAAACAGCTGTTTTCTGGACTAAATCCTTGCGTGGGAAGTTCGTCAAAATAATGTAGTGTGGCGTAAAACTATTGACAGTAGGCCTTCTAATTAAAAACGAGGGTCTCGACATTTGAAATGCATGCATTGCTTCCCTTTTGTCTCTCGTTTTTAATCAGTAAGCCTACTGTAAATAGTTTTACCTACGACCGTTTGTTAAAGTAGCCATTTCAGTCCAGTTCTTAGAATTGAAAAGTTTCACTTTACAGCTGTTTACTTTCATATCAGCATAGTTTCATTTCATATCAGCATAGTTTTTCTCATATCAACACAGGTAACGGACCAATTAGGTTCAAGTATTGAGAGAAAATAATTAAAATTGTAATGCTTCGAACGTCAACTAATCAGCTGATCAGCTGATCAGTTGACCAATTTAATTGTTGATCCGACTTGTTCATGTTGATGCTCTGGCGGAAGTCCAAAAATAAATTAAATATTTTCTGAATTGTACCTGATACAATATTATTTATGGTAAGAATGCTGCTAGCAATGTAATATTTAACGAAGTTTAACAAACACGTAATTACAGGAAATCAGCTGATTATACAACAAGTCGTTGCATCACTTTCAGTGGCAATGACAATACACGAAAACATAACCTCTATAAAAAGTTATCAGTAGTGATTGTTAGTAATTAAATCCAGATTGATAGTAATTAAAAAACGGTCGTAGGTAAAGTAGTGTATGCAACTAGCGTTAATAGTCTTTACGACACTCGTAGAAGTTTTTAAGGCACTCGCCAAGGCACGTCCCTTAAATTTTCTACTCGTGTTGTAAAGACTCACTTAACGCAATTGTTGCGTAAACTACTATTTCGTGTTTAAATGTTTTGTAACTGTGTTTTAAAACTGTGACGTGACATCACGAGTCGAAAAACTTCAAGTTTTGTATAGGATCTGATGATGGTATAACAAATACTGAAACGCGTAATCCTGTTGGATATTTAAGGACCACTTATAGGCAGTCTGTAGGTATTGTAACCTTCTTATTTTGATTTATCACGAAATAGATTATAAATCCAAACCGCAGAAAAAAATGAATCTCAGATACAACATACATCGGTAAACATCAGATTTCAAATTACATTGAAAGCACAATACGTACATGTATTGCAAAAGAATTTGTGAGTTGCTGGTGTAAAAACATTATCCCAAAGTGCAGTGCTTACGGGGCTCAAGATAAGATCCTTCCAAATACATTAATCCCAGCTAATTACCTCCCAAGCCCATTAACAAGAGAAGTTGAAGACTGGCGATGTTTTATAAACTTGGTAATAAACTTGCTTGCAGCTATTGATTCTTGATTCCATAACATCTCACAATTTTCCAATGCTGTTAATAAAATAATGAAAATTGAGTGTAGGCCAATTTATACGTGAAACTGTCATGATGTAAAATGTGTAGTACGGATTAAACGACCAAATACTGTATTTTGTAACGTTTTCAATACTGTTTTTCTATAATTATACGTTCCGAACTTTATAGTTTGTATAATGAAATCTTTCTCCTGACCAGGTCTACATGGGGACTAGCCAATCCCAGTAAAAATATTTTTCACCACACTATGATGTTTTACATACGTTAATTAGAAGCTGAAAGTTACGTTTTGCTGGCCATGCCAGCTGTCATCGTCATTTGGGGACCGAGCAGGTTTTTACATCCCTAGGGCCGCAAAATCAGCTGCCCGCTTGCATATTAAAAATACACAAACAGTCCCATAGCATTGAAATAGAATTGTTTTATTTTCACCGTTGCCTAGCAACTGTTTATTATTATTTTTTCTGATACCTGAAATTTCTTCTTCACATAACCTTAAAGTTGCGTTGACTATCAGTGTACATTAATTATTATTGTGAATAGTAGTAGTGAGGTGAAAAATTGTGTTCGTACCACGGACCAAAAAAATATTTTTCAAGCAACCCACGATATTTTTGGGTTCACAGGTAAATGGAAGATCTTACCCTTGACAACAAAATGGACACAACCAGTTTAAGGCCCGAGCCAGCCAGAGGATCATCAGCTTTCAATAACCCTATGTCTAATTTTGTATTTTCAATGCGTTATTGTTGTAACAAGTGATTTGGGTTGTAAAATAAACTAGTTGTTAATGTTTTGAATTTAACCTCAAATGACCTGCCATGCGTTGAAAATTGTCATGATTAAGTTTATTTGACATTTAATTCGTAGTTAATTTGATATTCATATGAAGCGACAGGGGGTTTTTTAAGAGTTTAATGGCAGCAAAATTACTTCTCTCACGACTGTATTTTACAGTTTTACTGTTTACGTTTAAACCGTAAGTAAATACGTACATCGTTGTGGATCGTAAAAATCAGCAAACGTAACTCGATCTTCACCCGACAAACCCTTATGTGGTGAAAGACATCATTTGTGTTAAAGAATTGTCTCTCGTTAAATACAAAGGGTTAACGTGATCCTGTGAAGGTCTTTGTATTTTTTACACATTTAAGATGAAAAAGTTTCGTTTTACTCGCTCCTTTGTGGAATAGAAATCAAAGGTCTGTCCTGTGACATGTCTGCCATGTTAATGCATGGTGACGTCACACGCACCATTCTGTTTCAACCTTTGACTAATGTAGGTGTATTTCACTCGAATTACGAGCGAGAATCAAGTTAACGTAGTTTTCTACATTCGTTCGTTGAATTGAACACCCAAATTACTTTAAATTGACGAACATTATTTTAAATGAAATTATTAAAACGGTATCGTCTTATAATGACTACCTATTTTGTGTTTAAGTTACCTTAGAAAAAATTGAATTCCAACAGATGAATGCTTCTATACTTAAATACGTCATAATTCCCAAACTATCACGATTCTCAGACATCAAAAACTAAAATAAATGACCTTTCCAATTGCTCACAGCTTAAACTTTCCATGTCCTCACAATTCTGAGCAAGTACAGTCACCGTCACAAATAAGGGACAGACTAAAGGTATGTCCAACAGCCAAACAATTTTGAAAACAGTTTCTATTATTATTACTTTCAAATTACAAACCTTACCCGTACAAACCCCTCACTTACAACCTAAGATTTCCAACAACGATTGCAT